AACTTTTTCATATTTTTAAGGAATAAGACACAAGTACCCCCCTAGACTATGACCAAAATTCTAAAGACACATAAACTTAACTAGGGTCTTATTACTCCTAAACTCATTTTTTTCATATTTTGTGCACCTTTTGTGCTGACGTGGCACCTTCAATTACCCAAGTTGATTGTGTTTGTACACACGCATCTGCCACATGTGTAAATATTTATTTTTATTATTATTCTTTTTTAAAAAAAATATTCTTATTTTCTTTATCTTGTATTTAGATTAAGTTGTTTTTTAAAAAAAAAAAATTATCACCGTATGGTGGTAAGACCTTTATATTGATGAATAAAATTACAATGCTAAGAGGAGCTTAAGCTCGACCCATTGTTCCAATAGTTGCTTCGCAAAAACTAAGGTTATAATAAAAGCTATACAAGTTTTGCACAAATTTACAAGTCCAGCGTAATAGACAAAATGTCACCCCCGAGCCTACACCCCGGACGTGGCTGGCACTCGAGAATCATTGCTGGCCCCAAGCGAGCCCTTGGCCTGGCTTACTTACTCAGCGGAATACTTTACTCAAGATAAATATACTTTAAAAGAATAACTGAACTGCTCAATAAATAACTTAGAATGTAATAAATAACATTCACTACCAAAGTGGCAACTCAAGTCTCAACTTAATTGAAAGGGGAAAGTAAAGACTCATGAACTAACATCACTAACTCAGTCTATGAAGGCTCTAAACAACTGAGATGGACTTCGGGACAAGACCCACGACATCCTAATGAACTAAAATACTGAAAGCAATAAAAAGGATCCTCCGGAAAGCTGGGAGACTCACCAATTGACTCTGAGTGCTCAACTGAATTAACGAGGCGTTGGATGCTGATCCTGATTACCTGCGTCTGCATCATAATAAGATGCAGGCCAACTGACATCAGTACATTGACTGTACGAGTATGCAAGTTGGAATGTTAAACATAGCTTAAGCTTGAAAAGAATCTGAAAGAAACACTTACCTTGGCTTTACTCAACTCCTGAATAACTTAACTCAATATAAAGCAATAAAACACATGCAATATATAGAAAGCCTTTAAAACAGTAGAAAAAAACTTAGTTCGTTAAAGAAAATGCAATAACAAACTCAACTTTACTCATATAATAAAGTAATATAGTTTATGTGGGAGTTTCTCTAACCGACAACCACCACTATGAGCCTAAATGGTGATACAACGTCTTGCCCACGCTACCAGAATTGTCTTATACTTTGTCGTCATATAGAACACTTAACTAAGTGGGTCCACTAGTCTATGCTAAAAGTATTTTAAGGAGTCATCTAAAAAGTATGATCCTTTACTATCTATGATGGCTACATGGTTTATGGAGACGTGAGTTATCTGAACTCAAGCTCTTCCCCATATCGGTGCTCAATACTACACCCAAAATATACTTAGCTCATATGTTTGTGAAAACAAAACTCTTTCTTTGGTTTGAGATAATTACTCAAAAACTTAGCTTAAAAGCTCTTTTGGAAATCTTAGTTTCCTTTCTTGCTCAAATGTGAAAACATTTTAACTCTTGGGAATACTTAGTTCCCGTATAATCTTTGAAGAATGAACTTTACTCTTACTCTTTGCTGAAGACTAGCTCAAAGGCTCTTTTGGAAATCTCAGTTTCCTTTCTTGTTTAAATATGAAAACATTTAGTCTTTGGGAATACATAGTCCTGATATACTCTTTTGAAGAAATAAACTTCAAACTTTACTCTTTACTCAACTCAAAACTCAAGTCTTAAAACAAAGTTAAAACATTTGTAAAAGACTTTCGGAAAACTTTATGAACTTCTCTTAACTTGACTCTTGACTTCTCTTAACTTGACTCTTAACTTTCCTTGAATTGAATTATGGATTCAAGGATTATGATTTGTGATAGAAAAGATCTCATGATGTTAGTGAATGATTTTAGATAGCTACATATGAGAAAAGATAAAAAAAATCATTGTTTGATGGTGGGTCCGCGACGCGGAGAGGTATTTAAATTTTGGTCATGAAAAATACTTTATGAGGCAGAATGGTCTGTGACCGCTCCGCAACGCGAAATGGTTTTTCCCGAATCTGGGGAGCAGGTCCGCGACGCGGAGCTAGTGCCTAGATTTGCCCGACTAATTTTCTTCTTCGTTTTCCAGCCCCAATTCGCCTAAACTCGATTCTTTTTCCCAAATTCTTTTTAGATACAGATACTCAACAAGTTTACCTAAGAACCTAACTCCAAACAACTCAATAATTTGACGTAATGATCTCAGAAACTTCTCAATTTCAGCCCAACTCAAGAACAATATCAATTTCAAGAATAGATATCAAGAACATCAACTTTCAAACTCTTTTAGAACGAATTCACGCTGAAATAAACATGTTTGGTACGTGGGTAAACGAACCCAACATTATGAAAGCTTCACATACCTTGTAGGATTAAATCCTTGGCAAAATCCACGCGAAAATCTCCAAGAAATCGACGAACTTTGAACTTTTCTTCTCCTTTCTCCTCTTTTCTCTTTTCTCCAAGCCCTAGCGTGAACTTCAACTTTTCTAAACTGTTCTAATTCTGATTAGACCCTAACTTAATTACCAAAAATGAAATAAAACAATTGGTCAAGGAAAAGACTAAAATACCCTTCCAAAATTCGGATTAGACATTTCCTTATTTGAACAACCCAACTTTGAATAGGCATATTTCACTCATACAAACTCAGAATCGCGCAAATTCGGCGGCGTTGGAAAGGTTATTCCAAGATATTTCCTACGATACTAGAAACACACCTAAATCATCCTGATCTAGAAGTTATGGTTGTTTGAAGTTGACCAAAAACCCAAACTTATCAAATTTCCAATTTTTTCATTCTTTCCTAAAATGACTATTTCCAATTCTAATTCTTTCTAGTTCTTTCAATTTAGCGAGATATTACACAAAATTAGCTATAACATCTCAACTAGATAAGTTTATACAAAATAATTCTTCTGCTTATGCGTTAGGGATTCCATTTGTATGAGATCAAGTTTGTAAGGTCTGATGGCTATCGATGGTGGTGAACATGTGCAAAAATAACCAACTCCTCATTTGTAATACTCCATTTTTCCAATGCATCTGCAACTTGGTTGGCTTCCCTGTAACAATGTCGAACCTCGCAAGTAATAGTACTTGAAATAGTTTGAATACGAGTAATGATAATCTTCATTTGCCAAGGGATATTGTAATTACCTTTGAACATTTCTTTTACCTTGTATCGAAACTTTTTTTTTTTAACTTCATTCATTGTTTTTTCTCTTTTATTTTTCTAGTGAATTTATTTATTCTTTTTATTTTCTCTGTCTTTTGTTTTGATTTAATTTCAAATTCAATTCCAACTATCCTGTATTTAAAATAAGTTAATTTCGAACGAATATCAAAAGAGGTGAAGAAAATCAAATAAAACATAAAAAAATAAATATTAAAATTAAAGGACACTTTTTAATTATTATGTTTAAAATACACATATTTTTAAAAAAATAATAAAGTGAAAAAGATAATAAATTAATTAAAAAAAATAAAAAAGAAATTAAAATAAATACTTTACAAATAAAAAAATAAAAATAATTAAATATATATGTTTTAATATCAATAAATATGATTACTAACTAATTATAAAGTTACCGATTAAAAAATTATATGTGTCCAATTTGTGCACCCAATACTTGCCTTCAAGAAAATGCGCACACTCTCCATGTCACGTCAACATATTTATTCCTTTTTTTTTTACCCTCCTTAGGAGCTCTCACCCCTTTTGCTCCCTTGGTCACTCGAACTCGCAACCTTCAGGTTGGAAGTGAGGGGTGCTTACCATCTGAGCAACTAAATTTGCCTAGGGGAAATATGACTGTAGTTCAATTTAGGTACGTGTGAGATTTGGTCATAATCGAGGATTACTTGTGTCTTATCCCTATTTTTAAGCTACTTATTAATTAAAAAAAGTGTTCTTACGCCAAAAACATAAATAAATGAGGATGATATTGATATATAATCATATTTTAAAGGGAAAAGGGTCTGATATACCCCTAAACTTTGTCATTTGGAACTGATATACCCCTTGTTATTAAAGTGGCTCGTATATACCCTTACCATTATACAAACGGCTCACATATACCTCTACCGTTACAAAATGAGCTCACATATATCCTTCATTTAACGGAAGTGAAAAAATTAGTTTTAAATTTATATTTTTGACTTTTATCTTTCTTAAAAATTATTGAGGGGTATATATGATTCTTCTAGCAAAGTTCAAGGTATATTTTAATCTTTTTCATACATAAATTATTTTTTGACTTCTTTTATTATAATTATTTGAGTTTCTTATTCCTATTTTATTTTTTCTTTCATTCCTTAGTGTAAAGAAAAAAATTTAAAATTATTTTTTTGTGGCTATAGTATAATTTAAAACTATTTTTTTTTGTCTATATTGTAATTTAATTTTTGTATTTGAAGAAAAAAACTTAGTCATCTATACTAAGTTTTACAAGTGAAACATAAATAAATTTGACTATCAAAATAACAAATCTAAATTAGTCATTGAAACTAAAAAAAAGTAAAAAAAAAAAATGTTTGAGGAGGATTAAATATACTCATATGGGATTATATATATATTTTTAAAAAAATAATAAAAAATTAAACTAAAATTACTTTTTTTTCATTTCCGTTAGAGGATAAGGGTATATGTGAGCCATTTGTATATAAGTAGGGGTATATGTGAGTCACTTTCATAACGAGGAGTATATCAACTCTAAATGACAAAGTTAAGGGGTATATCATACCCTTTTCCCTATACCCTATTTTAAATAACTTGGTGTAAATAATTATATTTCCCTTTAATTAATCATTTTGCAAAAAATCAAACAAGACAATGGAAACATTCACTCTTTCTTCATTTTCCCCTATTTTTCATTGGCAATGGAAAAACTAGCACGTTCCAAGAGCCAGACTTCAATGGCAGTCCCAAAACGCCAATTTCTCATGGCAGCAGCACGACGCCTATGCCTTCCCAAATCCACCATCAGAGGCGTAGCAACTTGTGCTTCACTTGTTAGCACAACCCACTTAGAAAATTCCCCAAAATCTGATGACACATTTGTAGTCCAGAAAATTTTGTGGAACCTAAAACAAGGTAAGCCAGTAACCAAGTCTTTACATGGTTTAAACCCGTCTATTTTTCTTGAAGTTCTGGTTGATTGTCGTGATAATTTGCATTTAGCACAGAAATTCATCAACTTGGTGTCTGTAAATTGTGCTAATTTTAAACATTGCACGAGTTCATTGAGTGCTACTGTACATGTGTTGATTAGGTCTAAGAGGGTAGCTGATGCACAGGGTTTTATCTTAAGGATGATTAGAAGAAGTGGGGTTTCAAGAATTGAGATTGTGGAATCTTTGGTGTCAACTTATGAGGTATGCGGGTCGAATCCATATGTTTTTGATTTGCTGATTAGGACTTATGTACAAGCTAGGAAGATTAGGGAGGCTGTAGAAGTATTTAAGTTGTTGCAAAGGAGGAATCTTTGTGTTCCGATAAATGCGTGTAATGGTCTTCTAGGAGGGCTTGTGAAGATTGGTTGGGTTGACTTGGCATGGGAAGTGTATGGTGAGATGACAGGGAGTAGCATTCAGCCAAATGTGTATACCCTCAATATAATGGTGAATGCTTTGTGTAAAGATGGGAAAATTGAAAGCACGAATCCGTTTATCGAAGAAATGGAAAAGAAGGGAATCTTTCCGGATATGGTGACTTACAATACTTTGATAAATGCATATTGTCACGAGGGGCTTCTTGAAGAAGCCTATGAAGTGATAAACATTATGAAAGCTACAGGGTTAAGACCTTGTCGTTTAACTTATAATTCTATTCTCAATGGTTTGTGTAAGAATGGACAATACGGGAGAGCAAGGGAACTTTTGGTTGAGATGGAAGAGAGTGGCCTGGCCCCTGATACTACTAGTTATAATGCATTTCTTGCTGAGTGCTGTAGAGCTGGTAACATGCTGGAAGCAGAATCTGTTTTCAAAGAAATGTTGTGTCGAGCTATCATTCCTGATTTGGTTAGTTATAGTTCACTTATTGGGTTGTTTTCAAGAACTGGTCGTCTCGATCGCTCATTGGCATACTATGAGCATATGAAACGCAAGGGTCTTACACCAGATAATGTAGTCTACACAATTCTCATTGGTGGGTTTTGTAGAAATGGTTCTATGAAGGAGGCTATGAAGATGCGTGATGAAATGCTGGAGCAGAGTTTAGTTATGGATGTGGTGACTTACAATACTATATTGAATGGGTTATGCAAAGGAAAGATGCTTCATGAAGCTGATGAGCTTTTCAATGAGATGTTGGAAAGAGATGTAAATCCTGATTTTTACACTTTTACCACGCTTATCAATGGATATTGCAAGTTTGGTAACATGGAGAAAGCACAGACCCTGTTTGAAGCCATGCTACTGAGAAACCTCAAGCCTGATGTTGTGACATATAACAGCTTGATTGATGGATTTTGTAAGGTTGGTGATATGGAAAAAGCTTTCAGTTTAAGGGATGAGATGATCTCTGTAAATATTTCTCCTAATTATATTACTTATAGTATTCTCATAAATGGCTTTTGTAATAAGGGTCGTGTATCTGATGCATTAAGACTATGGGATGATATGATCATCCTAGGTATCAAACCTACTATCGTGACTTGCAACTCTATTATCAAGGGATATTGCAGGTCTGGTGATGCTTCAAGGGCAGCTAAGTTTCTGAACAAGATGCAGTCCCAAGGACTATTTCCTGATTCAATTACGTATAATACTCTTCTTGATGGGCTTATAAGAGAGGAGAATATGGATAAAGCGTTAGATTTGGTTAATGAAATGGGAAAACAAGGTATGTCACCTGATGTTATTAGCTATAATACCATACTGGATGGTTTCTGTAAATTTGGTAGAATGCAGGAAGCGAACATGCTGTATCGGAAAATGGTTGAGAGGGGTATTAACCCTGACAGATACACATATACATCATTGATCAATGGACATGTCTCTCAGGATAACTTGAAGGAGGCTTTTCGTTTCCATGATGAAATGCTGCAGAGGGGTTTCATTCCTGATGACAAGTTTTAATCACCTTGCTGTTTGAGCCCACTGAAGTGTATGACGTCAATTTCTGCCGTTTCTGTGAATTCTGCTTTATGCAGTGCCCTCTTCTAAATTTGATATTTTGACGTTAGGGAATTGCTAGCTAATGTGAAATATGCTTGATTGATTTGAGGAGAACTATGGAGAAATCACTTGCTGGAACAGAAACTTATGGGTGCTCAACTGGACATCTGCTCTCTAAGGAACTGTGTATTAGTGAGATATTACCCAGACAGAGAGCGGTGCTTCTTCAGACCCCTCACTTGTTGCCATCTGTATATCTTGATTGGCTAAAGAGAGAGCTAGTGAGGGCCGGAATGGAATATCGTATGTAGTGTTAAATCCAATCTGAAGCTCTTTCGAACAAGCGAGGAACGAGTGACCACAAGCTCCGCTTAAGCGCAGTGCTAGGCGAGGTTTGGAACCCTACCATCTATTCTCTATGCATCTCAATTGCTTCACACCTCTACTTGGTAACCTCTATACAATGCCCCTTGTTTTGTTCTAGCCCTATTCTATTACCAGACATAATTGGGAGAAGCTCATCCGAAACTAGAGCTAGAAACACTTTATTTTGTTTTGTTTCCGCTCTCTAAGGAACTCTCTGTAAGTAAGGCATTATCCAGACACAGAGCGGTGCTTCATTTTCAGAAATGTGCTTTTGGCTGCGGTGACAAACTTTAGAGAGCTTTTTAATAGAGCTGTGATTAAGATTGCCATCAAGATTGAATATGCAGAAGTTCCTCTTTCATCTGCGAGTTTGATAGTTCACCCAGTGGACTCACAATTTGTCAAAGAGCACAGTATGTACTATGTTTTGACCTTAGTTTCTTGGTTCCCCTCTTGTTGCCACTTCCTGGTGATGTTACTATCATGTTAGATATCACATATAATATAAACACTACAAATCAATATATTCCCCACATAGGTTGCAACTTTTGCAAACAATGCATAATGTTACATATAGCCAATGACTCTCTATATTGGATATTGTGTTTTCTTGAGCTTGTGTATGGTATGGTGTCTAAACCTATGTTGCTTGGAATCTTCAAGAATGTCGTCGGGTGTGTGTCAGATCCTCCATAAGTAGTGTATTTTTTGTGGATCCGACAGGGGTGCAACAATATTCTTGAGTTTCTTTTGATTGTTTACTTGGTGATGTACACTTTGTTTGCTTGTGGTTCCTAGTTATGTTGTCTTTGTGGAAAGCTGAAAATTTAAACCAAATGCTTTTGCTTCAGGAACGATGACAGTGAGATCACAAGTGAATCAGAAAAGTTATCCATGGCTGTCTAGCGTTTGCTGTGAATGTCATTCACGGTATGTTGATGACACATGGACTGGCTGCTATTTACTTTCTCCTGATTAGCTGGTTGATTAATCTGTTTATGACCACATGTTTCATCAGTGAGCAAGAATTGCTAGTAGCAGTTCTCAGAAGTGTATCAAAGATCCAGTTGCTCTTGTGTTATCAAACTAAATGAGCTTCCATCATACTCAATTGACCATAAAACTACAACCCTTCACTAAATTTATGTCTGGGGCTTTTTGGAGAAGTGATTATGAACTGATCAGACTTCAAGAAGATCTGTTCCATAGATAGATTGAGGACATAACTTTGATTGAGTTCCTCAGGTTACAGATGTCTGGACTACTTGAGTTACAGTGGAGAATATATGGATAGATTATAGATATAGATTATAGTGTACAGACAAAGAGTTGACATATGATTACTGTGTAAAACTATAGTGTTGCAGTATGTGAAAATTTGTTTGGTTCTTTTATTTGAGTTGGACAATGTTGAAGAAGTTTTTGCCATAATGCACATCTCATGAACAATTTGGCACCAGTTGGTTGTGGAAAGTGTTCAAGATTGGATTTGAGGTTGATGAAAGTTTTATTCATAACAAAACAAGTTGTACATTTTTTCACACCCATGACAAGTAAAATATTTTCTCCCTTTCATTTTTATTTGTCCACTTTTAACTTTACATGTCCTTTAAAAAATAATGATTAATATTAGTATTAAACCACAACACTCGTACTAGTTGATTTATAATTTTAGGTCTTGAAAAACTGATTTGACTAATAACAAATTAATATTTAGGGTAAAATATAAAAAATAAAAAAAATTTAATATGTTTAAAATGACAAGTAAAAATAAAAGAGACAAGAATTAAAAATACACCACTTTTTTTTTAGTTTCATACATAAACTATTGAAAGTGTCAATTTTGTATATAAATTATAACTTATTAGTTTAACAACTACACATTTCTTTTATTACACTCTCATTATGGTTTGTGTAATATATTCCCTCTTTTTTTTTTTTTTTAAATTGTGACATCACCTTCCACATGAACTTTCACCTTGACAAAAATAAAATAAATTATTGGTATTAGTTAAAGTTAAAGATTAAAGTATTATTATTCCCCAAACAAATAATTATAAAATAAAATGTAAAATATTCTTCTTACCCCACTCCACCACTTTTCTCACCGTACCCCCTCCTCCCCTACACACACACTTTTTTAGTTTTTATTTTTTGAATTTCATTTATAAAGGTTTTTTTAAAAAAAAAAAAAATCATATTTCATATCCCCCACCCCCATCCCTTCAAATAATAATTCAGATATTATTTTTTTTTTTAAATTCTACCCACCCGCATATCCTCTGCTGCCAATTTTTTTTTTTCTAATTTTGTGTTGTATATATTAAAAAAGAATCTTTTTTACTTGCCGCAAGACTTTTCTTAAAACAAAATTTCTATTTCTGTTATACTCGGTACATAAGTAGAAAAAAAAAATTCCTAAAAATATATGTATGTACATTCTAACACAAAATGAGAAAATGTAAAAGAAATGAAAATAATTAGGAGCGGAGAGTTAGATGGGGTGGGGTAAAGTTTTGAAAAAATAATATCAATATTTTTAAGGAGCGCGGGGGGGGATCATTTAGGTATAAAATTCAAACATAATTTCAGTGTGTTTTTGACATTTATCTATTTTTAAAATAATGAATATAAAAATAATTGCAAAAGGTGATTTGATGTTTCAAAGTCTATTTAATTTTCAGTTTTAAGTACCTTTTTATAAAAGACAATTGAAACACTTCTTTTCCCCAATTGTTTATATCAACGATAATGCTAGAATCAGGGACGGATCTATGAAGGGGTGTGGGGGTGTCACGTCACCCCGAACTTCGACGGAAATTCTATATACACATAGGTATATATATATAATATTTATATAACTATAAAGTGTGCCACACAGAGAACAAAACTGGCTTGTGGTGCCACGGTAGGAGGACAACTTTAGAAGGCTTATGTTGCGGGTTCGAATCCAATTTGTACCTATTTTGTTGAGAAATTTGATGTAGGCATTTTTTAAGTAAAAAAAAAAGGCTCCAAGCACATTTTTTTAAGGAAAAACAGCTGGCATATTATTTTTATTTATTTTTATAATTGTTATTGACTTAAATTAAATTAATTGCATTATTACTCAGTTGACTTTTCTTTGATTTGATTAAATACAAATAAAAGTGTTCTCTTTCTCTTCAACTATTTCCAAACTCTTCTTCCTCCAAGTTTCAACTTCTCCAAAATTTTCATTGCCCCATTCCGAACCCAAATTACTTGTTGTCGTTGCCACCCGCCGTCCGTCTTAGCATTCCGTACAACAGCTAAGCCTCATTTGGGTGCTATTGTTTTCACTTTTCTGCATCCATCCACAACCTTTTATAGATTGTAAGTTTGTAATTCTATTTTTGTAAGATTTTTTTATTTCTATTTCTTGAGTTTTTTTAAGTTTTAACGAGTGATGATTGATTTCATATTAGACAAGAGTTTTGATTTTACTTTGATATTCTAAATATCTAATGAACATTGTAAGACGTTATTGGTTAAAAATTGTGTGATATGAACCATGTTAATTTGAATTAACTATGACTTACCCTATTAAATTTGAATTAATTGTGAGTTGAATTGAATTTTAATTTTTGTAGGAAAGTGTTCTAGTTTTGTGAATTGAGATGGAGAAGTTTCTTCCGAAATTTAATCATTCTCAAGCAATTAGTTCTAGTACGAATGTCAATCCTTCTAGTCTTATAAATAACCTTAATTTAGGTTCACTTGAAGCCGATCCAGGAAAAAGAGTACCAATTGCTCACTATAACCCTCGAATAAAGGATGAAGTGAGGAAACATTATATTCAAAAAGGGCCTTGTCAACCTAAAATGGATTCATATCCTCCAACTAAAATTGGAAAAAGAATGCGTCGATTTTGTAAAATTTGGTTTGAAGGTCCATATTCTAAATGGTTGGAGTATAGCGTGGAGAAAGATTCTGTCTATTGTCTATGTTGTTATTTATTCAAAGATGATTTTTTCCATGGAAGTACAAGTGAGTTTTACACAAAAGCAGGTTTTAGGAGTTGAAATAGGGCACTTGAAAGATTCCGTAAACATTGGTGATGTTAATAGCATTCATAACAAATGTTTCAACAAGATGCTAGATTTGTCAAATCATCATCAATCAATTCAAGTTGTTATTGATAAGCATTCTCAAAAGTTAAAAAATGAGTATCGAATGCGTTTGGAAGCCTCAATTGATGTGTCAAGACTTCTTTTGCAATATGGATTACTTTTTCGAGGTCACGATGAAAGTGAATCTTCAATTAATCAAGGCTTCTTTCTAGGATTTTTGCGATGGCATGGGGACAAACATCTGGATGTGAAAAAAGTGATATTAGAAAATGTCCCACAAAATGATACTTTGACTTGTCCTATGATTCAAAAATATATTGCCAATGCTTGTGCAAAAGAAACATTGAAAGCAATAATTGGGGACTTGAATGGAGATTACTTTGGTATATTAGTTGATGAGTCAAATGGCTCTTGTTTTGCGTTTTGTTAATAAGAATGGTGAAGTAGTTGAACAATTTATCGGTCTTGTCCATGTTAGTGATACATCGGCATGTTCATTGAAGAAAGTGATTTATTCTTTGCTTTCCGTTCACTCACTAAGTCCATCCAAAATACGTGGACAAGGTTATGATGGGGCTAGTAATATGAAAGGAGAGATAAATGGGCTCAAAACTTTAATTATGAAAGATAGTCCATCGGCATATTACATTCATTGTTTTGCTCATCAATTGCAACTAACACTAGTGGCTATTGCTAAAAAACATTTGGAAGTTGAAGACTTTTTTGATCATGTTAGTAATGTGTTGAATGTTGTTGGAGGATCTTTCAAGCGTAGAGACTTACTTCGTGATCACCAAGCCAAAAAGTTAGAGCAATTATTTGAATCTGGTGAAGTTCAAAAAGGTCAAGGATTACATCAAGAACGTGGGCTTCAAAAACCAGGTGATACTCATTGGGGATCACATTTCAAAACTTTAGATAACTTTATTGTTATTTTCTCATCTATTGTTCAAGTTCTTGAAGTGATTGAACTTGAAGGGTCCACATCAAGTGATAGAAATCAAGCGGAGTATCTTTTGACAAAGATTAAAACATTTAAATTTATTTTTGTGCTTCACTTGATGTTGAAAGTGTAGGCAATGTCAAATGAGTTGAGTAAGATTTTACAAAAAAAAAGATCAAGATATTGTTAATGCCGTGGAGTTTCTTAATATTACAAAGAAAAGATTGCAAGATATGAGAGAAAATGGATGGGAATCTTTGTTGGATGATGTTTCCACATTTTGTGATGTGCATGATATCTTGATTCCCAAGTTGGATGAGTCTTATTTTCCCGGAAAGTCAAAACGTAAGTCTTCGGGTGTTAGTTATGCGCACCACTTGCGTGTTGAAGTCTTTTTTATTGTCATTGATGTGCAACTTCAAGAGCTTAATGACCGTTATGATGTAGTGAGTAGTGATTTGCTTCTTGGGATGGGTAGCTTGAATCCGGTCAATTCTTTCTCTAATTTTGACAAAGGTAAAATCATGACTTTAGCAAAGTGTTATCCAAGTGAGTTTGATGATGGAAAAATTTGAGATTTAAGCTACCAACTCGATACTTTCATTATTCATATGCGAAGTGGTAATCCCAAGTTCTCCAACTTGCAAGGAATTCGTGATTTGGCGAAGGCATTGGTTGAAGCAAATCTTGCGGAGACTTATTCACTTGTTTATTTACTTGTAAAGTTGACTTTGAGTTTACCTGTTGCTACGGCAACTGTGGAGAGAGCATTTTCGTCAATGAAGCACATAAAAAATGAAGTACGGAATAGTATTGGTAATCAATAGTTAAATGATTGTCTAGTGTATTACATAGAGCGTGATGTATTTATAAATGTTAGTAATGATGTAATTATCGATCATTTTCAGAATATGAAAACTCGTCGAGGACAATTGTAAATGAATGATGAATATTTAAAATATTAGTAATATTATTGAAAGTTTTAAATTTGTTAACTTCATGCTTTTAGTGTGGAGTGTGGATTTGTAATATCTTATTATTTATATTTTATTGATTGGATTATGATATATATCGAAAAGATGAATAATTTAATCAAATATAAAATTAATTTAATTGATAAGTTTATTTGACACTCACGAACTCTAAATTCTGGATCCGCCACTGGCTGAAATGCTGAAAAGATACCCCTCTGTCCCAGTAGTGATTCCACTTAATCTAGCTTTATAGATAATTATATAGTATTCAAGTCAAGTGACTTTCAGTTCAATCTCATTTTTCTTTAATGAAAGATATTGGTGAAGTCTAAGACATTTTATTTCAATCTCATTTTTCTTTAATGAAAGGTAAAGGTGAACTGTAAAATTTCTTATTTCGATTGTAAAGTAAAAGAAACGTAGAATGGACATAATTTCACTAGCGGTTTATGTTTTCGATTCAAAAGGAATGAAAAATGAAATAAGAATATGTATGCACTATTTATGAAGTGGATTGGTTATCTTTAATCTTCTTTTTCCTATCTTCTTCTTCTTTTATACCTTCAACTATTATCGGTTAGCAAGGCAAACTCCAACATTGAATTTGTTTGAAAACTATCATGCTTTTTTATCCAAATTAATTTCCTTTTTTAGGAATGCAGGGAAGAAGTCTTTTCTTTAATTAATTCTTGAAAGCCATTAATCCTTAGTTCTCTCTCGCGCGTTCTGCATCAGATAAGAAATGCATGAAAGAAGTCTTTTCTTTCTATTTATTCTCTAAAACTATCAATTCCGACTTCTCTCTTGCGCATCAATGATCCCAATAAAAGTCACTTGAAAACTTTTTTTTATTAGAAAGCTCATACGGAAAAGAAATTAATGATTAATATGATTAAGTTTTGGATAATTGATCAAACTATTTAAAATGTAGCCATGGATAACTGATTCTTCACACCATCTCCTCATCTTGAATCTCTCAACTTTAGCCTTCCAAGCTATCATCAACACGAAGAAGCCCTCCATTGATTCTAATAAGATCCTCCCGATTCTCTTTGTATTATCATGACTTGTGTAGCTCAGGATATCAGTCTAACATAAATTGTGCTGACCTTATTACTAATTGCACAAGTTCATGGTGAACATATAATGTGTGTTTGATATGAAAGTAGAATGAAAAGAATTATATAGTGTTATTTTAGTCTTTAGTGAAATTCGAATCTGAAATCTCATAATTAAGGATGATAATGCGGTGGGGCGAGGTGGATTTAAGGCTATACGGGCGGGGTGGGTTAAAGATTGTGTGGGCCTGGTTAAAGTGAGTTTCTTAAAAAACTATTGCGGGGCGGATCGGGTATATATGATTTATGTGAGTTCAAATTTAATTTTAATTTTTTACATGTTATAAGAGTGATGAAACATTTTTTATCAAGACAATTTTCATAAAACTAATATTCAAGATAGTAAATGAAAAATGGTTCAATAAAATAATTCAATTTCTTACATGTTTTCTAATTGAGTTCTAAAAAAATAAAATTTTAATCTATTAAATTAATATAACTTAATGAAAAAAAATTATTTTTATAAATTTTATTTTTAGTATCAAACTTAATTAGAAAAAGAAAATATTAAAAATATTATGCGAGACGCGTTCATGTGGGTCGAATCTATGCAAGGCGAGGTGGAACATGTTGAAAATGAAAAAAATTATTATACGAAGTGAAATAGAATAGATTAATTTTTTTGTAGATTAAACTCAACCCGCCCCCTCCAACCCCCACCATTCCATTGCCATCCCTACTCATTATTTTCAACCCCTTCATTCTCCCTTTAACCCAATGAAAGACGAAGAAGCGCTGACAGATGGAAGGGCCAGTTACTTTACATTACTTTTCAAATTTACATAAACTAAAGTATCATAATATTTTATTTTTTACCATTGCGATGGATAGAAATAATACTCCTTTGATCTCGAGTTCAAGTATCGGTTATAAAATGTTTTTTGATAGGAAAGGCTTTTCTTTGAATGGAGTGCTATGCAGTATGAATACGGTCAATCAATGGTAGAATGAGAATTTTCAATAAGAAAATTTAAAATTTAAAAAAATTAACACACTAAATAACCGAAGGATTCAATAAAGAGGGTTATCCGAACCCCTAATGGTAAGGTGTTCTCCACCACTGAATAGGCATAGTCAGCTTTGATGTGGATATCCAACCCGGATGAAAAATCAAAATAAAAATATCTCATCTTCCACGAGTAGTACCATTTATACATATTATATGCCCTTTGATGATATTTGTGTGATTGTGTCTCTCCATATTGATCAGACTGTCATTTATAAGAATCCCAATTCCGAAACTCTCCAATGTTATCATCCATTTACGTCGTCGTAGCCTTTTTTTCATTTCTCATCGGTCTTCTCTTCTACTTCATCCACTTCCGATGGACTCCATCGGCACTGGAAAAACTTCACCGGAAACTTCCACAAGGTCCACGAGGTCTTCCGATAATCGGCAATCTCCACATATTAGGTTCCCTCCCTCACCGTACCCTCTACAACCTCTCCAAAACCTACGGTCCATTAATGTTCCTAAAACTCGGCAACATTCCAACTGTGATAATTTCATCGCCGGAAACCGCCGAGCTCATATTGAAAACTCACGACGCAATTTTCGCAAGCCGGCCAAAGCTGAAGGCGATAAGTTACATGAGTGACGGTACTAAGGGTTTAGCGTTTGCACCTTACGGTCCACGGTGGCGCAATAATCGGAAGTTTTGTACTCAAGAGCTGCTCACGGCGGAGAAAATCGGGTATTCTGCCGGGATGAGGAAGGAGGAAATTGGGGTTTTGGTGGAGGAGGTGAAGGGATTTGGGGGTGAATTGGTGGTGGTGGATTTGGGGGAGAGGATTGGGGATTTGATTGGGAATATGACTTATAGAATGTTATTTGGAGAAGGGAATAGTGAGAGATTTGATTTGAAGAATATTGTCAAGGAGATGGTGAGATTGTGTGGAACTTTTAATGTTGCTGATTATGTGCCTTTTCTTGAGCCATTTGATATCCAAGTATGTTTTCTATAGTATTTTCTCCATCTCATATTAATAATCAAAAATACTTTTGAATTTGACGTAAATATTAATTTCATATTTAAATTATTGACAATCTTAAAAATACATTTCTACTTGACTAGCTAAACTTAGATATATCTTTCTACTTGACTAACTAAACTTATATACATCTTTCTCTTGTAGGTGCATAAGACTCTTAATAAAAAATGAGAGAATTGTTAAAAATACCTTTAAATTTGATGAACATTTAGGAGTGTATTTCATTTATGTTGCAAGATCAGAGGTTGTATTTAAGTTCAGTTAGTTAAGTAAAGGGGTGTTTCTAAGAGTATCAATAGTTCGGGAATGAAACTAACTATTGGCGCCTAGTTTAAGGGTATTTTCAATACTTCTCTCTAAACAAAATGGTTAATTTTACTAATTTACCTTTTATCTATATTGATGGACATCACGATGATTTATACTAGCATATGACATGTGAATAAATATAATTGGAATGGCAACAAAGTAATTAATGAACTATTGATTAAACATAATTGAAAATTACCATTCTTGACGAGATTTTTCATAAGTCAATTTGGATTCTACATTAGCCCAATTTTTATGAACTAAAGTGGGTTAGGTTGAGAGAGACTCAACTAATAAATGAGTGGATTAATAACTCACTCAAACTTAGGCGAGTTAGCGAATTATGTATTCATGGACTAAATTTTGTCACCTTGAGATTGCTCTACTTAAGTGTCATGCGTACACCAATACGGGTCCCCTAACCCAGAGGTCTCGAGATTAAACTTTTATGTAATATATTTTGGTCATACACATGTGTGATTTATGAAACCATGGATGTTCAGGGCTTGAATAAGCAGTTGAAGGAAACAGGAAAGCGAGTTCAAGAAATATTTGATACCATAATCAATGAGCATGAACAAGATGCTAGGAACTACACTCACAAGAGCAAGAACAAGGATCTTGTCGATATCATGTTGTCATATCAAGATAATCCCAACTCATCCTACTCGATTGATTGTGCAACCATGAAAGCTATCCTTTCTGACATGATTGTTGGAGCCATCGATACTTCACACACTTGGATAGAATGGGTGTTTGCAGAAATCATCAAGCATTCAACAGTAAAGAACAAACTCCAAGACGAGTTGACATCTATTGTAGGACTTGATAGAATGGTTGAGGAAGATGATTTACCTAAGTTGGAATACTTGGAACTAGTGCTCAAGGAAACATTCAGGTTACATCCTGTAGCGCCTCTTTTAGTTCCTCGAGAATCAATAGAAGATGTTGTGATAAATGAATGTTACATACCGAAAGGATCACGGGTTATGATAAATTGTTGGGCGTTAGGACATGATCCTAAGATATGGTCGGATAACGTTGAGAAATTTATTCCTGAGAGGTTTATTGGCAAGAACATCAATCTTCGTGGACATGATTTTCATTTACTACCATTTGGCTATGGGAGAAGAAGTTGCCCAGGAGTAAATCTGGGGTTGATTACTGTCAAGTTGATAGTTGCACAATTAGTACATTGCTTCAATTGGGATTTGCCTGATGACATATTACCTGATGATTTGGACATGACTGAAAAGTTTGGTTTGGCAGCTCCAAGAGCTCAAAATTTGCTTGTTATTCCTACTTACCGTCTACTCTGTTAAAACGTTATGCATCCTATTTTGTTTTGTTTAAAATGTATTTCTATCCTAGTCGCAAATTTGTCCAATAGGATGCGTCCTACTTTGTTCAATCCACATTTTGTCTCTAAGTTTC